CCCCCCCCCATTTGTAGTTCTAATGCAGCTGGTTCATGGATAAGGTTTACTGTGGGTTATCCCAGTTTCTGCTTGCAGTCCAGACGTGATTATTAACAGGACCCCCCGTTTATTCTCTAAATATCCTTGTTAGATAGAGTGTATCATCACCAACACTGGACCCAGGATGATAGAGTCACTCACATGGGCCACATTTTGAACAGCCCTATTCTAGACTGTCTTTAAGGACAGGAAGTGGTCCTTACTGATCTCCAGATCACTCTATCACAATTGCACACATTCATTTGACAACTATTTTGGAATGCCTACTATCTGCCAGGTGTTGACCTAGGTGCCAGGACACAGTAGCAACTAAGGCATGTAGACTCTATTCTGTAAGGGTGGGGAGTCAGGTAATAAACAGGGAAGCAATACATATACAAAAACAACTGCAGGTAGAAAATGCTAGGACAAAACTGAGACAGGAATTGACTTAGGAAATGCCTGTGGGTAGGGAGCAAAACAGTGTGGTCAGGCAGGGAAGGCCTGGCTGAAGAGGTGACAAGGGCAAAGAACCGGAAGCATTAAGTTCCTGATGCACATGAGAAACAGAACATGAACGTCAGTCAGTGTGGCTGATGGTAGAGTGGGCTACGATGAGGTCAGAAAAATAATCATCATAATGACATAATAAGCCAGGTACAGTTGTGCACTCTTCACATACATTAGTTCATTTCATGTTTATAGTAACTCCATGAAGAAAGTACTATTCTTCCCATTGTACAGATGAGGAAACAGAAACCTGGAGATTTAAGTAACTTGACCAAAGACCCAAGTAGCAGGTGACGGAGCCAAGATTCAAAGCCAGGCAATCTGGTTCCAAAGTCCATTCTCTCAAACCATCTCTCAATGCTGACAATAATAATTGTAGTGGTGATTATAATAATAATAATATCAGCTAATCTTCTATGAGTGTTCACTATTACACTCTTTTCAGGTATCCTCTTCATCTCATTCTTACAAAGACTTTGGGGATAGACACTATTATTTTCCCTATTTTACTTATGAGAAAAACTGAATCACAAAGAGGGGTTTATAACTTGCACATGGTTACAAGTCAGCAAGGGTTAGAGCAGGAATAGATTGCCTTGAATCTTGCAAATCATGAAAGGTCCTATTGAATTAGAAAACTTTGGCCTTTTTCTGTACATATGGTTTTGCTCTTAAACTAAAGAGTCCAAATGATTTTCCAGTAATGTTCCTGGCTTTAATGTAAAGTGGACTTTGAGTATTAACTTTGGAATCCCTTCAGAACCACTCAGGTCTCTTTTCAACATCTAAATTCTTTTCTCCTAAATTATCACACTTTATGGGCCTCCCTACATATCATTGGCACATTTTCACATTTCTATGCCTTCTAACTGTGCTTTTGCTTTCCTTTTGCCACTTAACTATGGATGGTTTGTGTCACTTCCTTTACATTTACTAAGACCATGTCTTTAGGATTCTACATTTTAAATTAATTATTTTTTGAAATCTTGTCTTCTGCCAAGGGTACAAGAGGTCCAGTTCTTACGTCTCCATGTACACAGCAGTGGAGGACACCTAGCTGTGCATCTCTAGTACAAGGCATGGCACAAGAAGCATCCCTGAACTTATGTGCATGATTTGATCAGCCCACAAAGCTCATCCCCACACTCCCACACCATCATCACAAAGCACACCGTTTTCTCCTAACAAAAACCACTTTAGGTCATTATTCTGTACTTACTTTTCCCTTTTAAAGTTGTCCTTAAAATCATTCTAAAATGAACATCACATGCATAAAATGCTGGGGCTGAGAGCCAAGGCAGCGAGCCCTCCACCCTTGAAGAGCTGTGAAAATGGATGGAAAGTAAAGTAGAGAATTGGTCTACGTGAGCTAATTCCAGAATTGTTGCAGAGCTGATGATTTTCTAAAGCTATTTGCTCTGAAAACATATCCCATTGTCTCTTTAGCTTCCTCATTATTGTTTCACAAATAATAATAAATCTGAAGCACAGAGAGGTTAAGTGACTTGCTCAAAGCCACACAAATCAAATGGTAAACACTGGAAATAATCAAAGAAATGGAATAGATGAGCAGGACACCAAGCTTCATAAGGCAAAGAGATGGCAATCTGGAAGTCTGTATCAAATCACACAAACATGGGCGGAAATACAACCAGAAAACAATTCCAAAAAACAAAGCAGAAGCAGACCATACTTAATCTAATCAAAATCTAGCAAGTGTGTTGGAGAAATCATCCAGCTTTAGATTTTCAAAACCCGTTAGTTGTCAAATTAGATGGAAGATGAAAGAAGAAATTGCCTTTTGCTGAGACCTACTGCTAAATTTGGTCAATTTTGTTGTTTATCAGTGCATAAAGTCCTTGCACTTACCATTTGACAAATCTGAAGGAAAAAACACTTGCTGCAATCAGGTGAAGTAGGTTATTAATGGTTCTGAACAGATACACAGGATTGCCTCATCCTGAGGCAATTAAGGCTGGGAAGAAAGCGTGTTTAAAATCTCTGAGGACTGACTATCATGGAACAGGTGGTCCTCTACAATTGTCATTGTTTGTATAATTCTGAATTGTTCAGTATATTTCTTCTTTTAACAAATCACTCATGAATTCAGAGGTCTTCCTTTCTTTTTAACCCCAGCTCAACAACAATAAAAATCACCCAAAGGAAGCTGGAGATTTTAGAAAGGAAAAATTGAAGCCAAAAATAATTAGCGTCATAACACTTCATACTATCAAACTTGGATGAAAACAGATACAAACCAGTGAAAATGAAAACATAAATCAAATAAAACCAAAACTTTCAGGTGACTTTTGCAAGCTGAATCCCTAAATCACTTTGACCTTAACAACTCAGTCTAATATTACTTGCCTGTCAAAATTGTAAAGCAAAGCACTTGTAAATTACTGAGGTCAAAGTCCTGGGGAAGGAAAACTTACTGTTTCCAAATACAAAGATATAGGTAAACAAAATTCAATTCGATGTCCAAGTTACTAATTAAAATGTCTTTTCGTCCAGGAATCTATCATCAGCCACATCCCCTCCACACACATATGCACACTAACTAGCACAGCATTAGATCAGATCATCCTAAGTGATCTCTCAAAGTGTCCTGCAATCCCTTAGCCTAGCAGAAGTCACACATTATTGCCATTCCTTGTATAACTTACTGTCTTTCCTTCTATCAGAGTATATTCAGCCTCAAGTAGCAGAATACCAAATAAATTACATAAACAATAAACATATTTATTCTCTCCTTATCATGAAGATGGGAGATGGAGTGGACCAACATGACCATCAGAGGACTAACTTCTTTCTCTCCTTCCTTTCTGTCCACCCTCAGCTCATCAACTACTCCCCTCATGGTCACAAGATGGTTACAGCATCTCTCCAGACAGACCTAGGATGGAACCCTGATTCAGTCAGTTACATACTGAGTGGATAAATTGTGTCCTGGCATGTCTGTGGAAATTCCATCTTACACCTGCTATCTGGGCATAACTCTTTCTAGTATCCCCTTTCATGTCCAAAAGTGTCTCTGTTTGGATGAGAAATTATAGGATCATTCTCTTGAATGTTCTGAGCAAGTTTCTCCAGTCCTTGAGCCCCAACTTTATAAATGAAGATGACACCTCTTGAATTAAGTACATGTGAATGAGAAAGAATTACATGAGATAGCTTATGTAAATTGCCCAACATCTGGTTGATTCTGAATGGAGAACAGCTCTTTAGATAAGCTGCCTTGATGTTGAAGATGAACTGGAACATGGAAAGTTAGGTAGTTAGAGAAGAACATTAAAATTATTCAAGTGGCAAGAAACAAAGGAGTAAAAAGAAGAAAGAAATTAGGAGCAAGCTGCAATTGGAGGACTTAAAGACAAGTTGGCCAAAAGGGGAAGAAGTGTGAAAAGAAAACTCCTTGATTATGAACATAAAGGACTGATAACTGGTGATCCTATTAAACAAAATATGAAATAGACTTGAAGGAGGGGGAAAAAGACAGACAGAGGAGACATTCAGCTCTACCTTGGTCCTGTCCAGGTTGACAAGCCATGTGTTAAGAAATTCATATCTCGGGGGGGGGGGATGGGTCAAAAAGGTGATGGGGATTAAGGAGTGCACTTGTGATGAGTACTGGGCCATGTATGGGATTGCTGAATCACTATATTGTACACCTGAAACCAATATTACACTGTATGTTAACTAACTGGAATTTAAATAAAAACTTTTTGAAGGGGTGCCTGGGTGGCTCAGTCAGTTAAATGTCTGCCTTCGGCTCAGGTCATGATCCTGAAGTCCTGGGATCTAGCCCCACATTGGGCTTGGTGGGGAGCCTGCTTCTCCCTCTCCCTCTGCCCTTCCTCCCTGCTTGTGTTCTCTCTCTCCTTCTCTCTCTCTCTCAAATAAATAAATAAAATCTTTAAAAAAATTTTTTTCAAAGAAAGAAGAGAGATTAAAAAAAATACACATCTCTGCTAGGAAACTGGAAATGGCGCCCAGGGAGTAAAACGGAGCCTGAGGCTGGAGAGAGGTACTTAAGAGTTATCCACATGTGGGGCACCTGGCTGGCTCAGTTAGTAGAGCATGCGAGTCTTGATCTTGGGGTTGTAAGTTTGAGCCCCATGTTGTGTGTAGAGAATTCTTTAAAAAATAAAATTTAAAAGAAGTTACCCACAAGCAATTTTTTTAAACATGATCATCAGTTATTTTTTAAAGATTTTATTTATTTATTTGTCAGAGAGCACAAGCAGGGGGAGAGGCAGGCAGAGGGAGAGAGAGAAGCAGGCTTCCCACTGAGCAAGAAGCCCCACGTTGGACTCAATCCCAGGACCTTGGGATCATGACCTGAGCCAAAGGAAGACACTTAACCAACTGAGCCACCCAGGCATCCCCATCAGTAATTTTTTTAAGGTTTTATTTAAATCCTAGTTAGTTAACATATAGTGTAATGTTGGTTTCAGGAGTAGAATTTTAAAAATAGAGAACGCTTCACAAATCTGCGTGTCATGCTTGCACAGTGGCCATGCTAATCTTCTCTGTATCGTTCCAGTTTTAGTATCTGGGCTGCCGCAGCAAGCACGTCCACCTGCAATTTCAGAAGCTCAGAAAGATACTGTTGAAGCAGAGAGTATAAAGAAAGAAGAAAAGTAGACCAAGGACAGAAATTTGATGGGGAACTTATATTTAATTTTTTAATTTTTTTAAAATTTTTTTATTGTTATGTTAATCCCCATACATTACATCATTAGTTTTAGATGTAGTGTTCCATGATTCATTGTTTGTGCATAACACCCAGTGCTCCATGCAGAACGTGCCCTCCTCAATACCCATCACCAGGCTAACCCATCCCCCCACCCCCACCCCCAGAACCCTCAGTTTGTTTTTCAGAGTCCATCGTCTCTCATGGTTCCTCTACCCCCCCGATTTCCCCCCTTCGTTCTTCCCCTCCTGCTATCTTCTTTTTTTTTTCTTAACATATATTGCATTATTTGTTTCAGAGGTACAGATCTGAGATTCAACAGTCTTGCACAATTCACAGCGCTTACCAGAGCACATACCCTCCCCAGTGTCTATCACCCAGTCACCCCATCCCTTCCACCCCACCCCCCACTCCAGCAACCCTCAGTTTGTTGCCTGAGATTAAGAACTCCTCATATCAGTGAGGTCATATGATACACGTCTTTCTCTGTTTGAGATGGGGAACTTATATTTAAAGTTGGGAGTTAAAGCTTGGTTTTTGCGACAAATTAAAAAGATATTTCAGTTCCAAAGACCTGTTGTTGGGGGAAAAAAGGCTGGTTCAAGACTCAGAAAACCATCTAATCTGGATGTATGAATTCATTATGCCTTCAACTCTACTTCATTCAACATAAATCTCCAATCACATAGAGTTTATGTCAAGCCTATAGTGAATGATTAAAAAATAATTCAATCTTCAACATACTTGTAAGGAATGCCTATCCCCTTTTTGAAATGTCCTTATTTTGAAGGTGTTCTGTTATTTGTGTTGCTATTGCCAACACTATCACAAACCTACTCTAGAAGCATTACAGAGTTATTCATCACAGTACGTTGGGCTAAACATTCCCTCTGAACAAATGGGGCAAAGCATATGTCCCCATCTGACCACTATCTTACGTCTCAGGCTCTCACAAATACAGTGTTTTGTTTTCTCTAGAAAAGATTCAAGGAGCACCTGGGTGGTTCAGTCGGTTAAGCGGTTAAGTCGGTTAAGCAGTCTTCTTTCGGCTCAGGTTATGATCTCAGGGTCCTGGGACTGAGCCCCTCATCCAGCTCTCTGCTCAGCACTGAGTCTGCTTCTCCCTCTCCCTCCACCTCTCTCCCTGCTTGTGCTCTCTCTCTTGCT